GATGTCGTCTCAATAAATAACTTTTCTTCAATCAAAGACTCTGATAAAGAAACTTTGCTACGAGTGTGCTTATGGTATAATAAACGTACAGCAGACTGATACGCTTGAGCAAAGATGGCAATATCAAAAGTATATGTCAAAACAGCAGACTATTACCAGAAAACATCGAATGAGTGTGGTTAGCTGTGTTTCCTTCTCTCTCATCTACTTACATCCAAACTATAAAATTTTTGTCTTTCCCTACCGTCTACAAGGACAGAAGGAAACAACAGGACAGAGCGAAACAGGATGGGAAAATTTGTCTTAGACTCAACACCATACTGAATGCAATGTATAGCTTTTCATTTTACCTAATGAAGTACCTACATAATCGGAAACAAAATGGTGAATGTGCGTGCAGGGTGGGGGTGCCGGTAGGTGTGTGCGGGTGTGGCTCCTATTTTAAATGACACCCATACCCGCACCCACATCGACACCCCACAGTCATACTCCACATACTCACACCCACACCCTTAAGTGAAAACTACTAGTAATGAATGTCTTTACAAAATGCGCACTTTTGGTCAGTCTCGGTGTTCTTCACCAAAGAGATGTTTTATTATAGTAACATTAATAATTATCTTGATTTTAAAAAAAGTTCATACTCTAGTAGAAAAAAAAAATTCTACCACCATATTTATAAATCTGTAGCAACCAGGTCCATTAAATAATTCGGAAACAATTCTTCTGAATCGATAAGTCTCTTCAGTATTTCATCCATAAATATAGGCGTATTTTTTCTATGTATTGAACATAAATCTCTAATACTGGTTTTAGTTTCTGATAATATAAAGCGCATAATCGATTCAAGATCAAGTGAATATGTATCAATTGTAAGATGTTGTATTCGAGGACATAGAACAACAAGTAGTTTGATACTCTCTGATGAATAATTTTCTTTAATAGTGACATTGATAATCCTATTTGCATTCGATGTCAATCGAAACGGTTCACCCTGTTGAATTAATTTAGAATCAGTTTGTGTGATTGATTGACAGTTAAATGTTAATGTATGAATATTAGGTGTGAAACGTAATACATTGATCAATTGTTCAAATCAAAAATCGCCACAGTCAATAATTAGCGTAGTCAATTGTTTCAAAGGAACAATATGATTGAGAATAAGTCCAAGCCAGATACGGCTTTCAGCAAAACTATGAGAAAGAGTGAGCTTCATGGCATTTGAAAAATAACTAAGACAATTCTTCATGGCTTTTTCACCATGGATATTAACATGATCAACTGAATTTACATCATTTTTATGAAGATATGAAGGGATATTTGTGTTCAATTGTTCATACAATGTGTATTCTTTTCTTCTTAAAATTACAAATCATATAAATATAGATGTTTTTTTCTAAACAAAAAATTTCCTTATACCTGTATGGATTTATGGAATAGAAGATTACTTCATTGACATTCTGTTTTTTATAAAAATGATGCACAAAAAACCATTTATGTTCATACCAAAATGAAGAATAGAATCGATTAATCATATTATCATAGTTATTATTATTGCTATTTTCTATCATATTTCTATGCTGAAAATCAAAAATTCGTAATTGTGGTATATAAGATAAAATTAATCTTTTCCATCGATTTGCATCCAAATATGCTATATCAGAATTTGTTGAAATATATAAAACTTGAACTTGATGAAAAAAATTTTTGATCATCGTTAATTCTAATTCATCAAAAGTAATAGTTGTCTTTAAATAGATGTGTCAAATTATTTAATTTTATTGAACATGTTTGTGTTTCCTGATTACGAGATCTATGAAGATCATGCAATGAAAAACAACGAAGATGAGGAACATATGATAAAAGAGCATTAAGTTGATCAAGATGAAAAGTATTTGTAATAACAAGATGTTCGATAGAACTGCCTTTATTAGTCGAAATAAGTAATGGTTCGAATGTCAAAGATCCTTCTAATGACAGTTTACAATATTTCAACATAGGTAAACAAAATATTTGACGATAAAGATTATTAAAATTTTCAACAATATCATTATGAATAATAGTTAATGAGAATAGACGAGGTAAAGTATCTAAATAACACAAAAGATTCTCCAGATATTTCGATTGAATATTTCCAAAAATTAGTGTTTCAAGTTGAGTGAAGTGTGAAATAATGTCTGGTGAAAAGAAAATAATTTTAATAATCAATGGATTTAATAAACGAAGTAATTTAATTCGATGTTGATTAGGTATAATAATGTTTGTATAATAATATTGAAAAGTTGATTTGGATATTGTTGAAATATTGATTTTGAGAGGTAATGTAGAATAAGTAAGAAGTTTTAAAAATCGTATATTGAGATTGTAGAATGCTTCGTATATATGAAAAAAATCGAGATATTCAAAAATTTCATAGATTATTTCATTTGATAGATCTTCGAAAATTGTGATTGACGATTTTAGTGATCTAAAGGCTTAAATTGAAAAATAAAGAATTATTTTTTGTACTCACTTTCTTGAATTGCTTGTTACTACGAAGAAAGATTAAAAAAGAAGTTAAAAGTAAAACTAAAAATTCAGTTATAGTTCTAACCTAATAACTTTTCTCTTTTGTTATTATCAAAATGATTAACGATGAGATTTTCTTGTCGTCGTCGCTCCTTTATTTTGTCCATATTCAAATCAAAACAAAATAAGTTTTGCTGTCAAGTAGAAAAAAAGAACAGACTGAATGTGCACATATAATATCACTTGACTTTTTCTCGTTCTCTGAAAGCGGAAAGAACACACATGACAAAATAGCAGTAAAACAACACTTGGTGATTAATGTTGGAAGAAAGAAAGAATGAAGTTTTCTAATATGTTACTTATGTTATTCAAAAAGACTTTTCTTCTTCTTCCAACAACGTCACAAATTGCAGCTATTATTCAAATTATACCGTAACGATCGAGTCAAATATATTAAACACTAATAGTAAAAATAAAATTCTTAAACATGTATTTAGTTTGAAATAGGTTATATCGCATGATCTTTTAATTAAAACAGCACTTTTTCCTGTCAGCATCAAATTTGTTTGACATGTCGTCAACGACCGTTTGACATCGCTTTTTCGTCATTTAGTAGGCGCACTATTACGATCGTATTTCGTATTTCAAATAGACGGATACTCGATATTCAGATTGTCTGACGGCCGTTATCAACATTGTACGCATGAAAAATATAGGATCGAAATACTGCGTCTATCATAACCTCAATTTACAAATATTTACGATCACAATCTGATAGTGTACGCTATCGTTTTTGACGGTCTTGAAGACTGTAAACATTGTCTCGAATGGCTCAGAGTTATGTATCGTATACAGGGAAATATGGTCATATATGGAGAAAAAACGGTCGTGTACAGCACATGGAAGCGGAGCTCGTATACTATTTTCATGGTATTCAGTCTGTTCTCGCATATGGCCGTATGTCTTCGAGTTGACTCGACTGTTTGATTTGAGTTATTCATCTGAAAAAATTTCCACTGTCTCTTATAATAAAATCACAATTTATCAAACTAAATTTCCACTTACTCATAACTTTTGCCCTAATTGAATATATTCTATAAGAACCATTTTTTCAAGACCTTTTTTTCTACTTGCGTATTCATATGGTTGTAAATAACAGCCCACGCAAACTACATACCGTATCATCTAAAACTTGGTGTTAATGTTCTTTATAAAGGGTATGAGTGTGAGTATGGGTGTGGGTGGGTGTGGTTCTTACTCTAGATCATCTCTTTATCATTCACACCCACACTCAAACCCATACCCACACTCGCACCCATACCCACACCCATACCCACACCCACAACCACACCCACATCCACAGCCACACCCACCCACAGCCACAGCCACAGCCACAGCCACACACCCACACCCATCCCACACCCTTCTCTCACCGAATCCGTACTACATCTTTACGTTTTATGGTAAAAGCACTTATTCACAATAATTTCCCTTTTTTTTCTCCTTGTTTCCAATTCTAAGGGTTATCTTTTACCATAGATAATATAATAAGGGCAAAAGCAATGGAAGAAGCTCCTATTGATACACAAAATGAAGTGGAAAATATTTTCATACCAGAGGTATCCACAAGATGACTTTTTTCTCTCTGACTTGTCTTACTCTGCGCTGGATGTTGGTGTATCTTCTGTTCTCTCACACCCACAGTCTATTGAAATGTTTTTCTGGTTTGCTTTTAGAATCCAGAAAAAATTCTTTTTACTTGTTCTCTTTCTCTATCAAGCACGTTTTACTAGGTTTGTAAAAGAGAAAATGAAGTGGATTGTTGACATAACGGTCGGAAGAAACATTTTCATTTGTTCTTTTAACAATATTTGCCTTCTTTCTTTGAATTCTTTCCCAAAGAAATACATTATTTTTATTTTCATTACAATTGTTAGTTGAAACAGTGGCATATTGTTGAATACAAAAAAAACTCTATCGTTAAAAATAACTAAATCGTAATATGGATGATCGTTTTTCCAACCAGCGAGCACGTTCAGCACGTCATGATGACGGTGGGAACACCGATGACAGTAAATCAAGTGAGCACATATTTTTTTCTAATTCGAGAGTTTTCAAAACAAAATCTTAGCAGATTAAAAAAAAAAAGAAAATTATTTAGGGTATGACGCGCATGATGCCTTTGTGAACGGACTCAAACCGGGCAATGTCATAGTTAAAGTAGTTTAAAAATAGGTTGTCATTTCTTTTTTCCGTTTTTTTGTTGACTAGGGCACATCTCTAGATGCTATTACCAATATTTGTCGTCAACCACCCCCCATGAAAGAAATGGAAACCATCGAAAATAAAGATTGTATGTTTATGATATCAGTAAGTATTGTCTTTTATGTCAAAAGAAATGTTGATCATTCTAAATAGCTATTCAAATACAATCCGTCGATTCCCGATCAGAGACCGAGATCAATTAATGGCAAAGTTGGTTATCGCGATAGATGGGACACGGATCATGTTCGGATGCCATGTTCTCCACAATATGTTATGGTAAATTAAAAAGATTTTCATTTTTGTTTAATACTCTTTTGTCATCCAAAAAGAGCAATGGAAAACCTATGTGGCCAATTATTCAGCAATCATTAGTTCGCCTTCAACAATTAAGTGCTGCCCGTAGTGTTACTTATCGCGATCTAGAAGTAAATAGAATGCACCGGTTTTCATTTCTAAATAAGTTGTTTAATGCTAGGGAACAATTCAGAATTGCGCTGGACGTCATTATGAAATGAATAGTCTTGAAAGACTGATCAAAGATGTAAGTTTTCGCTTCTTACTACAGAGAGTAATTTACGATTGTCCTAGATTTATTTGACCAAAGATTGTGAGGTTTTCATGTGGCATGTCCTTCCCAATATTTGTTTTCTTGCACTGAACGTCGATCAAATTTGTGGTCAAGTATGAATATTCGTTTTTTATGTATTATTATCGAGACATTTTATCTTGTTTCAGTCACCACCTTTACTCCGTATTGGATCAAATCGTTCTCTTACAATGTCGCAACTACAAGCCGCATCATTGTTAGCTTGTGCATTTTTCTGTCTATTTCCATACCGTTCAGACCAGGCTCAATCGAAAGAATATGAAAACTTTCCTAATCCGAATTTCAATAGGTAAATCTACGTCTTAGATCATTGAATATTTGTAACACATTGCTATTATTAAAGATTATATAAAAGTGGATCTCCAGCAAAAATTGAAAAACTCAAATGCATTTTACATTACTTTCGTCGTATTACAGAAAAGAGTACGCTTACAATAAATTACAGTATTCAGTGTTTGTGTTAGCAATGTTTCTGTTTAGCACCTAATGGTGTGATTAGTTTCCGACGTTATAAATTACCTGATGATTCCCATCCACAATGGTTAAATTCAAGACAAGTACTCTGTAATCTACACTTAACAACTGGCAAAAAGATCGAAGATATCGATTGTGTCTTACAAGTAAGTACAAGAATTCATTTTGTATATGAATTTAATCTCGTTGTTTCTAGGTTGACTTTGCCAATAAGTATATTGTGAATATCTAAATAATAATTTATTGTCCTAGGATAAACATTCTGTAAAAAAGCTAGGGTGGAGGTGTTTTAGGCTCTGGTTGTGTACAAGAAGAAATTCGTTTTAGTATTTGTCCTGAAATGCTTGTTAGTTTACTTGTTTGTGAAATGATGAAGCCGGACGAATGTATATTTCTTATTGGTTGTGAACGATATTCATCATACAAAGGTTATGCAAACAATTTTGAATTCGATAATGATTATAGAGATGACACACCCAAGTAAGAAATGTTCTTTCATCTATTTAATTAATAGTAATACAAAACTATGAAGAGATTAAGTTTTATCTTGACTGTTAAAAATAATTTCAGAAAGAAATTTCGTTAACAGAACGTAGATCTTTAAATCAGTCAGATATATTAGCTTTAGAACAACAAATATTCTAGTCAAATCTTATGTGTTTAATTTAGTTGTCAAAAATAAATAAATTAGAATTTATAAATGTTTTTTTTTCTTCAACATTGTGTACTTTTAGAGATAATTGGGGTCGAAAATGGTGCCACCTTGTGGCTATGGACGCTATTTATTTTCGTAATCCATCAATCCAATACGATATGAAATATATAAATCGTGAATTGATCAAAGCATACACATGTTTTCGTCTTAGAAAAGTGGCAACGATACACCAGACCTTGTTTGGTATTGCCACCGGAAACTGGGGTTGTGGTGCATTCAATGGTGATAAACAACTGAAAGATGAAGATTGATGTGAAACTAATAAATATTGATTGCTTTTGCGTTTTTTAGCAATCATTCAACTAATGGCTGCTTCTGAAGCTAGACGTCCATTAATTTATGCAGCTTTTGGTGATAAAAACTTAGTTAACTTATTTTTTACAGTTTATGATCATTTGACGCAACAACAAGCAACAGTACGAGATTTATACTTATATCTTTTACAATATAGTGACAAACATAGTCGATTATCATTATTCGATTATATTCTTCGAACATCTGTTAAGTCACTCAGACCTTAGCGCGATTGTTTGCATTTTTCAATAAGACAGAAAAATAAAGAAAGTCCCTGGTATATGTTACGCATATTACTTTATAATTTTCTTTAAATCGTTGACAGCGTGGGAGTCGACAAAGGGCATAAAACATCTACACTCACCGTTAGACTTCAAATTCATCGGAGTCAAATTTGGGTGTGGATGTGAGTGTGGGTGTGGGTGGGTGTGGGTGTG